GTTTGAAACGGCAGTAAAAGAGAGGATTTTGTTATATTAAACTCTGACAATTAAAGAGAGATTTAAAGAAAATTATTTTATGTAAATTATTTATTTATAAGAAAGGAAGAACAGAGTGAAACTGTCTGAATAAAGTGACTTACCAAGCAGTATAATGATTTGGTCAACTTTTTCCCAAACAGAAGGAAATATAGTTTTCATTGTTTTCCCCCCATAGGATGAAAAAGTGTACCAGGAAAATCACTTCAATGTGGTTTCTTAACTGGAAGAAGTCAGTAGAGAGATCAAGGCCAGTTAAAAACTTGCTAGTTTTGGAAATCAATCCTCTATCTCAAATGAAATTGACAAGATATTTCTGATTGATACCCATTAATATGAACAATTGTTGCCATTTAATAGTCTTTGTGTAACTAGCCTGCATCACCATTCAAGAGAGTTACCCAGACAGTGGCAGTTTTTCTAAAACTTTAGAAATTGAGAAAGGGATTATGAACTTCATTACCTGTCCAGTTTCTTAATTTATCCAGTTTCATGCATGCTTGAGTCTGTGAGAAAATTATCATTCAACTGAGTTTTCTTATATGGAAATGTATTACTATTATGACATGATATCATGTCCCAGTAATTAATTTTTAAAAAGCAATATTATTAAAACTCTAATACATTATTAATAGTTTGCATAATAGTTTAGCAATAAAGGCTTAATATTTGAGTGTTTACCACATACTAATGAAATACCTTTAGCATTTATATGTACATAAGACACCACAAATGTTAATTTTTACATTATTAGTCATTAAAATGTCACTTAAGATGAATTTACAGCATTTCCTTTGGCTATTTGGATTTAAAAGCTACTGAAGAGTATTCTGAATATAAGTAATCAATAAACAAAGAAAATGTTTAGAGAAAAAACTTGAAAGTACTTGAGTACCTTGTTGGGAAAAAGATGGTAAGAACTAGCTGTAAAGAAGATAAAAACTAATGAAGGTACTGGTATTACTTTTGTAGCAGTTAGGTTATTATGAAACTTTAATTTTATGTTTAAAACTAATAAAGTTTATGGCACACCATGAAAAGTCAACTTGGAAGCATTATGTTTGTCACCTAAAGAATAGCTGAGTATAAACAGAAGACTGATCTTCATTTCTCAGGGTATGAAATAAACATTTTTATTGTGTTTTATCTTTAATTCTTCATGATTTAAGCTGAATTTCTTACAGCATTTATGAAAAATAAAGTAAATATAAAAATAAAATGATAAAATATTTTATCATTTTTGGTGAACTGTCTTACTTTGTATAGTAAAAGGATGGAATATTTTTCTCAAAAAATTATAAAGCAAAAAGTCTAGTTTTGGTGATCCGATTAGATAATTTCACAGATTTTTTACCTTGGTATCTTTAACTCTCACTTAAGGATGCATTTGTTGTTATTGTTGCTTAGTCACTAAGTCATGTCCAACTCTTTTGCAATTTCATGGACTGTTTTCCACCAGGCTACTCTGTCCATGGGGTTTCCCAGGCAAAAATACTGAATTTGGTTGCCAATTTCCTTCTCCAGGTGATCCTTCCAACCCACAGATAGAACCCTTATCTCCTGCATTGGCAGGCGAATTCTTTTCAGCTGAGCCATCAGGTAAAAGTTCTCAAATTGTAGCCACAGGCATGTTCTCCTTTGACCTATTTCTAGAGTTCAGTATACGTAATAACCTTGAGTAAAACAAAAGATTGCTTGGTTTTGGGATTAGCATAAAGTTCAGGTCAAAGTCTTAGGGAAAAAAAAAAAGAAAACAACTGTTATTTAGGATTCAGTTACTATTTCCAAATTTGTTTATTAAACTAAAAAAATTTATTTATTTATTTATTTATTTATTTATTTATGGCTGTTTTGGGTCTTCATTCCTGCGTGCAGGCTTTTTTCTAGTTGTGGGGAGTGGGGGCTTCTCTCCAGTTGCGGTGAGCAGTCTTCTTGTTGCAGCGGCGTCTCTTGTTGTAAAGCATGAATACTAGGGTGCACGGGCTTCAGTAGTTGCAGCATGTGGGCTCCATAGTTGTGGCTCTTGGGCTCTAGAGCACAGGTTCAATAGTTGTGGCCCATGGGCTCAGTTGCTGAGCAGCATGTGGGATCTTTCCAGATCAGGGATCACATCTGTGTCTCCTGCACTGGCAGGTGGAATTTTACCACTGAGCTACCAGGGAAGCCCTGTCTATTGCATTTTAATATAGAGTACCATCTCTTAGGACAATAGCATCCAAGAATTAAAAAAAAAAAAGCTTAGTATATTGAAATGGTTATATAAATATAATTATATGTTACCAAGTATTAAGGGTGCTAATGAATGCTTTTTGTTTTTGTTGTTAATTCAGTAGAAGAAATAACACTGTTTGGGGTATCAATGTTATTTTATTGCAAGAAAAATTACAATTGCTAATATTCGAGTCAAATTAGTGTTGCCTGGAGTATACAGTAGATAGGGTAACATTTCTTTTCAAATAATATACTTGTGCAGCTCAGAACTCTGATTAGACGGGGCTTCCTGGTGGCTCAGACAGTAAAGAATCTGCTTGCAGTGTGGGAAACCTGGGTTCGATCCCTGGGTCAGGAAGACCCTCCTGGAGAAGGAAATGGTGACCCACTCATATTCTTCCCTAGAGAATTTCATGGACAGAGGAGAAGACTGGTGGGCAAAATGAGGTCACAAAATGTCAGACCCGACTGAACAACTAACACATACTGATTAGATATGTTTTCAGTTGCTGAGCAATGCTTAGAAAAATTTCAGTCATATTTAGAAACTTGGTTTCATAAGAAAACATACCATCTCCTTCAATATTAACTGCCACTCTGGCAAAAATTAGTTTTCCTGTTTCCTTCTGTTGTCAGCTAAGTAGCATTCCTAATGGGCAGGGAATAATGAGTTGAGACTCCCTTATGGCAAATCAAATATCAGATGAGTACACCTTATATATTTCACATACAGATAACAAAAATACATGTATTTTAAATATTTGGATTGTACCACATTTAACAAAATAACTTCATGTATTTGACACACCATCGGCATATTCAATGCATTCCTTTTTCTGTCCAAGGAGAAGGTGTTCAGGTCTTTGAAATGATGAATACTTCATCTTTTTTCTGGGCATAAGTCCAACGATCAGATGCTTGGAGAAGTCCACATAGATTTATGATTGCTAGTACAAACAATTTCTAATTAAGATCCGTTAATTGGGGTACTGAGAAAAAGTATATATGCCTTCAATAGGAAACAAAAAAAGTATACAGTATTCATAATTACTTAAATTTTCATTAATTCAGTAAAATAACTTTCATTAATTCAATTAAAGTCATATTACCATATTCAGTCTTTAATAATCTGTAAAAACAGACTCCTTATTTTCATTTGGGAAAACTGAGACTCAGATATGTTTTATGAATGCAAAAAATTAAGGAAAAGACACTTCTAAGTAACTGAAAGATACTTTATTTCCCAATAACATCCATCCCCATTAATTCCACTTTTTGAAAAACCTATATTCACTGTAAGTGAGGTGCTTCCCGGGTGGCTCAGTGGTAATAAAGAATCCACCTGCCATTTCAGGAGTGGCAGGAGATGCAAATTCAAGCCCTGGGTCAAGAAGATCCCTAGAGGAGGAAATGGCAACCCTCTCCAGTATTCTTGCCTGAAAAATCCCATGGACAGAGGAGCCTGCGGGTTACAAACCATGAAGTCTCAAAGAGTCACACGTGACTGAGCACACAGGCATATTCACTGTAAATATACAACTCCCAAGAAGACAACACATCCATGGCAAAATTTGTCCTTACAAGTACAGTGATGAAAAAGCAGCAAATGCCTTGTCCAGTTTGAAATGTGCCTAGTCCAAATTCGATTTGGAAGAATTAGTTTGGAAAAATTGAGTGTAAAATATCAACAATTTTTATATCAATAACATTCTAAAGAGATAACATTTTTCATTTCTTGGGTTGGATTTTCTTTGAGAAAATATGCGTGAAGAATCCCATGGACAGAGGAGTCTGGCGGTCTACAGTCCACGGGTTGCAGACACGACTGGCATCTAAGCACATGGCACACATTTTTATTTGTCTAGTTGCTGGATGTTCATTTGCTGCAAGAGCAGTGAGGGGGGAAAGATAAAACTGTCTTCACAATACATGCACAAATGTGATACTGACGTGAAGAGATGGCGAAAATTTCTCCATGTACTTGCGTGTCTGAGGCCGGCCTGCAGTCAACCTTGTATGGAAGCTCATTCCGGTGCCCGGAATGTGCCCAGCATGAGGAGTGAGGAATCTGTTCCCTCTACGCCAGGCATACCTTGCCCAGGGAGGTTGAAGAAAAATGTTGCCATCCCCCATCCGCGACCCTGACTGAGCAGACAAATGCACCCTAGGGGGATTGGTTCTACCAACGCCTCACAACCCTGCGCTTCTGATGCTGTGGCCGGGCAGCTCATTCCATTGCTGGTTGTCCCTGGGTTAAATATATTTTTAAAAAAATTACCTTCACCTGTTTCTGTAGACTTTTTTTAATGTGACTACTAAATGTATGAAACTACATCTGTGGTTGTATTTTCTGTTATTTTCCCCTTTGGGCATCATTGCTCTAGGGTTCCCCTCCCCCCCACCCCGAGAACTAGTAAGTCTAGGATTTTGAACTTTTTCTCAAGCGCTGTTGGAAGTAGTTGCGTGAGCCATGTCTGAAAACGTAGCACAACAGAGTTGCTTTTAACCTGGATTATCTTCTGTATTTACACATCTTGTCATAAGGCAGGGCACGGCTGCAGCCCTTAGCAAAGCCAATGCAATGTGGGTTAGCCTCACGCCTCCCCACCTCACGCACGTACCAGGCAACAGTTACCACGAGACCGTTAATGATCCTGCTCTCCGTTGGTCAGGGCTGCAGTAGGCTCCTCCCCCAACCCACCAACTGTCAAAGAGTGACCGTTAGTGGTTCTGCTCAGCCATTGGTTGATGCTGCAGCGGACCCCTCCCACAAGTGGAACAACTGTCACGGAGCAACTGTTTGTGCGCTAATCAGCCACCTGTCAGTGGAGTGGTGGTTCTAAGGCAGAAAGTGAGGTAAGAACCGGATTCCAGTCTTCTCCCTGGGGCCCTCCAGTTAATCTGGCCTCTGGCCAGTGGGTGAGCTGGAAGCCCAGGGAACAAGCCATGAGCTGTGTCCTACAGGATTCCAGAGCCCTTGCTAAGGTCACCCACTGGCTGGGCCAAGGCGGCGGTGACCGTTTCCACGACTCTGCCTCTGCTCTGTGACCTAATATGGCAGTTTGCGGGAACTTCCCCGCCATCTAGGTGGCCTGAGGAGCATGAGTGCCAGCTAGATTTTGGGAGCCTGGCTCCCTCAGGGATTATGGCTGGACAGGGTCTGGGGACCCAGCCCTGAGTGAGCCGCCAGTTGAGATCTACCTCATCTTATCAGGACCTAAACCTTGGAGGATGACAGTTGTGCCTTGGGACCTGGCTCTTTCTTATCAGAGAATAACACTTGTTTGATAGAGATTTACGGGAACATGTTTGCCTGACCATGACCTGACTGAAGAACAAAGGCTCTGACACCAAGAAGTTTGCAACAACTCACCACACCCACCCCTCACCATTCCTAGAAAAGGGCTTTGCTGAGAGCTCTCAGGGGAGACTGGGGTTTTTAAGGCCTGAGCCACCTGACTCTTTGCATGGCCCTCGATAAACCTTTTGTTACAGAGTCCAAGCTCATTCTGCTCACATCATGACCTGCCAATAAATTGAGAGAGGAGCTGTTGGTGCAAGGAATGCTTACTTTAATTGGAAGGCTAGCAGGCCGAGATGGTAGACTAGAGTCTCCAAAAACCATCTTCTCTCAGTCAGAATTCAGGGTCCTTTTATATACTATAGGCAGGGGGAAGGGGCTTTCGGTGGCAATGACCAAGGGCAAAACAGTGCTGTTAACTGGTTGCTGGTTGACAGTTGCTCACTTGGTTGGGATGTTGGGGGTGCACCATGGTGCCCCGAGCAACAGCTGAGTGGGACTGTTGTTGCTGGCATATGTCTCAGTGGAGCATGCAAGCCTGAGCCAGGGAGGGAAAGGCCCATTATGCCTTTGGTCCCATGCGGGGCCACTGTTACACTTTCTCTGTTTCACATTCTGAGGCTTTTGTATTGTTTGGCTTCACTGTGTCCTGGGTACATGAACTTGCATTAGGTAATAATCTGAGGCATAGAATGAGGTATAAGGGAAATATAGGGAAGCATGAACGGAGGGCCAGGTAGTGATTCAGCTCTCAGCATCCATTAAATAGATGAAACACAAACCAAAAATTAAAAAGCCCACCAAAATGAAAAACTGAATGCTAACCAGGAAACTAGCAATTTCTTCATAACCCTACTTTCTGATTTGAGGCCCAATCTTATTAATTTGCTAAGTACCCACTGGATGGTTAGAATTGGGAAAGGAATGCTTATTTTTAATGTGAAAAACTTAAATAGAGGAGAAGATAAAAATAAGATCTTGTCCTTGACTTAAACTCTCATTAGTCATTACCTATATTCAGTTTTTATCCAAATGTTTGGAATTAAATTACTAGCAAATTGGTTCAAACTATATCACAATTAGTATGTGTCCACAGTATTATTTATCTTAAAAGATATAATCGGAGGAATTAGACACTAAAAAACACAAAACACAGTTAATAGCTTAGATAGTATTTTACATATGTATTAAAAAGCTATAATGAATAAAACTTCAGAGGCAAAACCAGATCTTTGAGGTTTGCTTAGAAATCTCATTTAACTATTTTTAGAGGCACTAATAGCATTATTTATATATTATCACCATTAGCTAGGGTTAGGATCGAATTTAAAAAAAAAACTCAAAAATTTTATATATCTATACAAAGGTTTCTCTATTGAAGTATTCTGACTGTTAAAATCTAATTTTATTAAAAAAATTTTTTTTTGTTTTATTAGTTTTTTTAAATCTAATTTTAAAATATCAGTACATGTTCAGTTCAGTTCAGTCCCTCAGTCATGTCCGACTCTTTGAAACCCCGTGAACTGCAGCACGCCAGACCTCTCTATCCATCACCAACTCCTGGAGTCCACCCAAACCCATGTCCATTGAGTCGGTGATACCATCCAACCATCTCATTCTCTGTCATCCCCTTCTCCTCCTGCCCTCAATCTTTCCCAGCATCAGTATCTTTTCCAATGAGTCAGCTCTTCACATCAGGTGGCCAAAATATTGGAGTTTCAGCTTCAACATCAGTCCTTCCAATGAACACCCAGGACTGATCTCCTTTAGGATGGACTGGTTGGATCTCCTTGCAGTCCAAGGGACTCTCAAGAGTCTTCTCCAACATCATAGTTCAAAAGCATCAATTCTTCAGTGCTCAGCTTTCTTTATAGCCCAACTCTCACATCCATACATGACTACTGGAAAAACCATAGCCTTGACTAGATGGACCTTTGTTGGCAAAGTAATGTCTCTGCTTTTTAATATGCTGTCTAGGTTGGTCATAACTTTCCTTCCAAGGAGTAAGAATCTTTTAATTTCATGGCTGCAATCACCGTCTGCAGTGATTTTGGAGCCCAAAAGTATATGTAATAAAATTAATATCAGAAATCATGAGAGACTTCTAAACTTGAGTGAAATCTTAAAGTGGAATAATTTAGCAGTTGTATAATTTTACCAGTGTCTAAGTTCTGTAAGAACCAATTTATAGAGGAAACCATCACATTTTGATTTATACATTTTAGTTGAAAGTTATTTTTACATATTCTTTAGGGTGTTCCAGATGCATTTATAAATATCTTTTGTTTTTGTTGTCTGCCTTTCAGAGGTTTTTAGTTTCACATAAAACAAACTTAGAACTCAGTAAGTTACCAATACAAAGAGTTAGATCAAATATCCAAATTTTTCTAGTATGAAAATATTCACTTCACATCCTAAATCTCCTGACTACCAATTTATCATTCTATGTTGAATGTAGGATCACTGAAGAGAAGAAAAACAAGGTCACTTCTTTGAGTTGTCTGTGGATGGGATCTAATAAACTCCCCAGGTGAGAGTTATAGTTTTATAAAATTCTGAACAGGATGATGAGGCATTTAATTTTTTTGTTTAGATCTAACAGAAAAATAATTTATTTCTAATGACTGAGTGATTTTTGCTCATAAGATCCCTAGGAACATAATTTCTGTTAACTATTTTGACTTGATAATATCTGAGTTTACCATACTGACAATTACATTCAGGTAAGGAAGTGACTACTACTTGAATGTTCCTGAATGTCCCAATTCTTGTACTTCTAACCATCTCAGGGGGCAGCTAGTTTCCATAATGAGGAAGCCAGAGCACTGTAAGCTTGCCTTTGAATGGACAAGAGCCACTTCCTATGAGATACTCCATTTTTTAAAGAGATGCACATATTATATAATTTTCCCCTTTACAGTTTTCAATTCACAAACTGTATATACCATAATTTAATTGATATGAAATGTCCAGAATTGGCAAATCTATAGGGACAGAAAATAGATCAGAAGTTGATGGCAACTAGGGATTGGTGGAGCCTAATGACTATTGGCTTCGTTTGGGGGATAAAAATGTTATAAAATTAGATTGCAGTGATGGAGGTGCTTTTGAGGCAGTTTCTATCTGACCCTATATTCTCCTTTCTTCATTTGTCTCTTATTTTCTTCTGAAGAAGAGGCCAGTTTTTCTGCTTCTTCAAACCTGGTATGACTTTACTTTCTAACTGAAGAGTCAGCTTGGTTATACTTGAGCTGTGCAAGTGCAGACAGAGGGACACTTAGATTTGGGGGTGTGCGGACTCTGGCTGAGTTTCTATCACAGCTGTCCCCAGCAAGCATACACTTTTGTCCTCTCTTTCCCTCTTGGACTCAGAATTTCTGATGCTTTAGTAACTAATTGCACATTTAACCTCTCACATTTTAAACAGATAAGGTATCTAGAGTTCTTGCCAATCCTATGTGCACACATTCACACTAAACTTGCTCTTTTCTATCATATTTCAGTGACAGCAGAAACCATGACTATGCTAATTTCATCAAGTCATCCTCCACAGATCATTTTTTCTGCCTCTAAAATTTGAAATCTTAGCAAGACTGAGTATGAGTCCGTATTCTCTTTTTCTCTATCTAATAAGGTCAAGTTTATCTAAATTAAATTATGTTGAAAGTAGAAATGTCATTGTATTTTTATTTTTAGTTATAGCCTCTCCATACAACTGACCACTCCATACCAGTTTAGTCTTCTTAGAAAATATGAATAACTCTATAATGATTAAGTGTATAGTTAGCAATATATATTTCAAATGATTTGCTTTAAATCTTAGCCAGATGAATCATAAATGCAAGTCTTAAAATATATTACCTTTTGGAAATTTTACTAGGAGATATTTCATGATTAAAATAAATATTTTTGATATTCAACTTGGAAGACATATAGTCTAAACTATAACACCCTCTCTGTGTAAACTCCATTCTACCCCTTGTGCCCTCTAATCATTTTACAAAGGCACCAGAATCTCAAGTCCAAGATTCTTATAGAGTAAGATGTAGTATTCACAAAGAAAACAACACATTCAATTAAATTGATGTTGTGCAAGTAAAAGCATAGGCACCAAACTTTTACCTTTTTTGTTATGATTAACCTTCTTTTATCATTCATGTGACATGGAAAGTCAAATATGTAAATCACATTCATTCAACATATTCACATTATTCAACATATAAGCTTATAAAACTCCTTTTCATTTTATATTTTATAATTGTGCTTCATACAAACATTAATTTTATAAATATTGTTTAGATGGCAGATGATATTATATATATCATATATATATTTATTTATGATATATATATATTATATATCATATATTATATAAAAACCTCTCTGATAAAGACTGTAAGTCTTTACCCTTATGTAAATTAGTTTACTTAATTAAGTAAGGTACCTACATTCTGTGCAGTTCAAGTAAGCTACTTCACTTCTTTGGCACTTTGTTTCCTCATCTATAAAGTGAGGACAACATTAGTACACCTCAGAGGATGGCAGGAAGGAAGGAGGAATTGCACTGGTCCTATTCGATCACCAAACCTTACGAGGCTAGGGCAGTGAAGGATTCAGCAAATATTGGCATCATCATCACCACTGTATTGATTTATATGATTCTGCCACCCCACCAACCACTTTGGTGAGGATTTAAGATCTCTAAATTAAAAACAAACCACAAAAAGTACTTAGAAAAATGGCACTAGTCATTTGTTCTTCAGTTAGTACCAGTAGGTGATAGTTTCTCTATGAATGTTATCAGTGTTTAATGAAGTCAACCATTGCAGTGAGGAAGCAGGTAAATCTAGACTGGTTGTATCATTTTGTTATAATTTGGTTTCATAAAGAAGTTTGGAAAAAAAGCAAAGTGTTCTCACTTCCATGGAGAAGAGGCTTTAGGAAGGAGATCAGAAAAGTGAAAGTTGCTCAATCATGTCCCACTCTTTGTTACACCATGGACTATACAGTCCATGGAGTCTTCCAGGCAAAAATACTGGAGTGGGTATCCTTTCCCTTCTCCAGAGGACCTTCCCAATCCAGGAATCGAACCCAGGTCTCTCAAAATTGCAGGCAGATTCTTTACCAGCTGAGCCACAAAGGAAGCCCAAGAATACTGGAGTGGGTAGCCTATCCCTTTCTGTAGCAGATCTTCCCGACCCAGGAATCAAACTGGGATCTCCTGCATTGCAGGCAGATTCTTTATCAACTGAGCTATCAGGGAAGCTCAAAACCTATCACAAAAGACAGGCAACAAATTAATAGGAAATGAGCCTATTGAGAAATGAACACCCTAAAGATTCAAGCCTATTTTAAGAAGTTTTGCTATTCGGCACTGGATGATTATGGTTGTGTGTGGGGGTGGGTCCAGATATATTTAATGTTCTGTCTGTCATCTCCCTTCTTTAAAGCTATAAACTGAAATACACACCAAACAGTGAACTTCCCATATAAAACTGTCAACTCCCCACAGAGACTCACAAGTATTGGGTTGGCCAAAAAATTCATTCAGAAAACCCGTACGATTTTTTGGCCAAACCAATACTTTCCCTAGGACTATTTGATAAATTTGACATCTTGCCAATGGTTTTCTATTTCTATTGCCCACCAGAGAAAGGACATTAAATAAGTAGCTTGCTGAGCATATATGAAAAACCTTGAGATGTTTGTAGATTAATGAGAGAAAGGGACAGGAATGAGATAATGATGGACCTCCTGGGTTGTGTTAAAAAGTTTTAATTTTATCTTCCAGAAGAAAAGAAGCTCGTTTTTTTTTTTTGTTTTTTGTTTTTTAAGGGAGTGGTGGCATAATCGTTGAGGAGGGCATGGCAACCCACTCCAGTAGTCTTGCCTGGAGAATCCCATGGATAGAGGAGCCTGGAGGTCACAAAGAGTTGGACATGACTAAAGCAACTTAACTCTCATGCACAGCTTAATGGTTAATATGTTAGAATACATCTGAAAGTTTTGGGGAAGAGGACCAACAGGCTGGAAATGGAAAAAATTTCAAGGAGGGTGGTACAGTATGCCAGGAAAGGGATAGTTAGCATTCACTAAATGATGTAAGAGAAGAGATTTGAGAAATATATGGGAAGTAGGACAGAGAAAACCTGATAAATAATTAGATATGAATAGGGAAGGAAAAGGAAGTGACTTTATCATTTCCACTTTGAATGATTGGACAGATTCTGTACAAGATCAAATTATAGTAGGATGAGTTAATCCTAGTGATAAAAGATTTAATTTAGCTTTGGCACATTAAATATTAAGTATATGATTTAATTCTAGGTGTAAAATGTTTCAGTATATATTCCAATATATAAAGTGTAGGTTAAGAAAACCATAAAAAATAGGCATAGTTTTGAGGGTCATACTAGAGACTAAGGCTACAAAAAATTCATAAAATATGAAAAATGTATAAAATAGTAAGTTTATACTTATATAAATTATGATTGTAACTATTATGTACAGCTATATGTATATGTTTATGTATAATTATGTAAAGCCCAGCAGATATTTTCAGACAGTTTAATAATGATCCAAGAGCCACGTGAAAGGCTGGAATTAGTCATATCACTAAGATCTCTCTTTACTGAATATATGGAAAGGAAAAATATTAAACATCTACTAGGATGAATTTACTAATATTTTATTCCATGGGTTATTGATTTAATGTAAAAATTTTAGAGAAATATAGGCAAGTGCTTTTTTTTTTAAGTAGAGATTTTGTGTAGTCTCCTATGAAATCATGAAATGTTTTCAGATATTCATACTCAGTATACTTGTAGTAAAAATTAATCTCACATGTAAATCTACAATTCCACTTCTGCTGATTTTCAAAATCATTTGGAGTAACCATTAGTAAAATATAGAGAAATCTATATGCCAGCTAAGACTCCTTTCTTAGGCTGCAGGGTATGTACCAAGTTCAATCAGCAATGACTGTCAGATTAGATTTGGATAACATTTAGTGTGTATGATCACTGGTATTTCCTTTATCCTTTCTGCAATGAGGATTAATTGAGTTCACGACCTCAGTAGAGGAAAAATGCCGATAGTTGTGCCCAAAGGACATTTAAGTTCCAAACACTATCTTCTTGTGGTGATAGTGCTGTACTATACATATTAAAAGAACCAGATAAACTGAAGGATGGACTAAAATGTATAATTAAAACACTGAATGAAGCATGCTGTTATATTGGTTTAGTTATTTTGGAAAATGGCATTTTTGTTCAGTAATACTGTCAGTACATGAAAACACATATAAGGCAAAAAGCAAATCTATTTTACATTAAGTTTTTGAAAATGAAATTGTTACCAATTTCCCAACTTGAGATTTTCTTTTAATATTTTAATTCTTCAGTTTGACTTGTTATGAAGGCTGTGATCATAGGTTTATTTTTGACTTGAAAAAAAAGTCTTAAACTTGTATAATTGTGTGAAGAGTATGAGTTGTCTGTCTTCTTGAAAAATACTGACTATGGAAAATTACAAAGATGTTAGAAAAAGCAGAAAGTGCAAAAATGATGGCAGTAGCTACATAATTCACATAACAGGAAAAACTTAAAGTTGCTATAAATTCTTTCACAAAAGGAAAAGACAAAATAAGATGGATAAAAGCCATTCCTGACAGGATAGACAGAAAAAAGAACTGTAGGTAAGCTGTACCTTAAATAATGACAAAACCAATTAAATAGTTTTCTCCATCTAAACTTCTATATCACAAAACAAAGAAAAGAGGCTGAGGTTGACATTTTCTGAAAATGGTTTAGCTTCAAAAGCTATATCATGATAAGCCTCATAATTAACTTGGATGTTAAAACCAATGGTTCATTATAATTTCAGTTGTTTTTTTTAAAAAGGAATGTCATATCCTGTCCTGAGAGTGCTTTTATATACACTTTATTGTAAGTTGAAGGGGGAGAAAGTAAATAGAGATTCCTGCAGAGATGAAGTGTATACCAGACTCTTAGAGCCAGAGAAATGATCTTAGAGAGATGTGATAAATTTAGTATTATAAAAATCTTCACTTGAGAGTGACAGGAAATTGAAACAAAGTGTAAAGAAAAAGTGCAGTCTTTAAAGGCCCATTTATAAATGTCACAGTATCAAGGAAACCTATTTCTAAAGGCAGAATTTCAATTCATTTTGGTGTTAGGTGTCAGTGACAAGTGACACAGGTCAATCCTTAGTCAATGACAAAAGGCAAACGAATGGCAAATATTTATAAATATACTAAACTACTCATGGAAGGTCATATAAACACCAAGTAATTTTAAACTCAACCCTGAATGGCATAATTGCTTATTACTCATCCTGACCTTAGAAAAGAAATTCATCTTTAATATCAACAGCAGTACCTACATCTTTTCTTTTGTCCAGAAGGACTTGTTGAAGCTCCTTTTTTTTTTTTCAGTTTAACACAAAAATTGTGTTATAGGAAGTAAAATAAGAGTAATTTGTAAGTAACATAGTTGTTCTTTCAAAGAATAAAACTCCTTACCTTAGATAAAGATATTCTTCTACAATACATATAATAATATTTTAAATGACATCCTTAATTTTGAAGAATAATAATTCTGTCCCTGCTATAACTTTTTAAGGCAGCATTACCATGTAATTCTTACAAAATTCAATAGAGGAATATTTTCCTTTGTCATTTTTTTCTTATGACAATAATATATTTTCAAGGAAAAACAAGGATATGATTTAAAATTATAAAATTTATCAAAAAATCATTATCCAGAGACAATCATAGTTAACATTTTGGTGAAATTTATGTTAATTAATTACGGTTAACAGATACAATTGTTAGTATATTTTGACATCAGAATCATGCCATCCATGCTATTTGGTAGTCTACATCTCTTTTCACTTAATGCTATGTAATAGTAGATTTTTTTCAAAGTGCTGTGATTAATATGATTGTCAAATACATAATAGGTTCATAATGAAAAAGTTATACCTTTGTAATCATGACCAAAATTTTCTCTAAGTACCTACAGATATATATTGTTGATATTAATAATCCAAGTACTACTAATCTGACTTTTTATGAAGATAATTATCTAGTACAACTAAAAAAATAAAAGTACTATACCATAATTTGTCATCACCAAAGCACATATTATGACTTTACCATAATTATTTTATAGTTATTAATGAAAAAATGGAAAGAATTAAGAACTACAATACACCAGGGATATTAGTTAAACTTTA